GAAACAAAGCATATCCCTTTATAGTGTGTTCTTGTCTCAATCCAGAGCACAAAGATTTATTTCTGTCTGCTGCCTCATTCTTTTGCATACAGCAGATCTGGTGTAGTTTAACTCTTTTCACAAGTGCATTTGATATCTTTATAATATGGAGATCGTATATCTCTAGGTAGCTGTGCATTCTAGGATATTGGTTGTATTCCGGAAGGAGTAATATGTGGAAACATACAATGCCCAAAAGACTTTAACCCTTTTCACAAGCACATTTGATCTCTATAATGCAAAGATCATATATTTCTGGTAAGAAGTTGGCACTTTTGGTGGTCTGGAACTTTGGGACTACCAAATGCTTGATTTCAGCACACAAATTTCATATCATGCATTAGCAGCCCTTTGGGTTATTTGTGGAAACTAGGTGTGGACTTTATTTTTCACATAGATTTTCTAAACAATTGTTAGAAAAATTGTTGTTGTACTTTATATTCATGTAATTAGTGAATGTATTATTTTATCAGGTTTAAATATAGCAGAAATTATTTTGTTGTGCATAGGTATTGGTTTTCCATGGGGTTTTGCGCACTGTTTTGGTTTTATATATGAATACAAACTAACATTTAACAAAAAAAAAAACAACAAAAAACTCCTCCCAAAAAGGGGAACAGCAGCAACACAGCAACATAACTTGTCACTCACGCATAAAGAAAGGTCTGTTGGGTCTATTCAAATCAAAGACTGTGAATGCAGGTGGTCTTCAACTCCACTCGTGCTATCCCCACAAACTGCAATACAACTCAGCAACATATCAGTGTCTATATACAGCACTGAATATAGTGCTGTATATAGCAGCACTGTAGATAGTAACTCTATAGTAGTACACTACACCAGCAAACTCCCTAAAAATGCTGTACGCTGCCTCTCACTCTCTAAACTTCAGTGGTCTGACAAAGGGATTCTGGAAAAGCAGCCTTTTATAGTATGGGCTGGGACTTTGGCCAAAATCCTGCACCTGACCTGGTCAGGTGCAAGACTTTGGACAATGATTGCTTTTGCAGTGCATTGTGGGATATTTGGCTGTGAGACTCCTGCTGACTGTCCCAAAAGTTTGGATTGCATCCGAACCAAAATTTGTTCTGAACCTAATGGTCATCTCTGGGGCTCACAATGGTTAGCTTTTATCCATGTATGTAAAACCTTTATCCCAAAAGAAAAAAAAAGGGGAGGATGACTTTGACACTTGGGTTGATCAAGCTCTTCAGGCCATAGAAAAGTGGGAAGTGGCAGATGCCGTGAAGACACAGACAGTAGTGGACATCTTACGGTCTCCTGCCTCTAACATCGTGCAGAATCTAAAACTGGATAAGCCAGGTTGTACCACCCCTGAGTGTCTTGAAGCCCTACGATAAGTATTCAGGCGAGTCAAGAACTGTACCGAACTAACATATTTGTTTGAACACACGTTTCAGCAAGAAGGGGAGAAGTTGTACAACTATGTGCAAAAGCTGGACAAGATTTTGCACCAGGTGGATGTCCAGAGAGGAGTTAAAGCATAAAGTACCAGCAAGGCCCTCTGTGCCCAAGGGGGCTCAACCCCTAGGGGGCTCTACCCCTAGATATAATTGCACAGAAGCTTAGGGTTAGCTATCCTTTTGGCTCCGTAATGTACTCAAAGTTGTTGAAAACCATATGAGAAGATAAGGCCTTGATGGCAGCCAAGGCCAGAAGGGTGGAAGCTCAGAGTGAAATCAGGCCAAGGGCCTCCCCAGTGTCCCTCAAGCTATCTCGTCTATGGAAGGAGTGCTTGATACACAGATCATGGCTCCAATGGACAGCATAGACCAGACCCTGTCCCAGCTAGCTCAAGCCCAAGCTATGATTCAACAGTCTTTTTGTGAGGTCCAGAAGATAGCAGGACAAGTCATGGAGGCCCACGTTGCTATGCAGAAGGCCATGTTAGCAATGGCAGCAGGCAAGGAATAATCCAGTCCTGGGTACCCCAGGTGTTGTTTCCAGTGTGGGACCAGCTGAGGGCCCAAAGAAAGTTGTGAGCTCCAATGCTCAGGGAACATAAAACCACCCAGACATCTGCTGCTAGTTGTCCCCTAGAGCCAATTCAGCTTCCAACTACATTGACTGGGACTCTAACACAGGAAATTGATACACACCACTCCCAAAAGCTAGAAAAGCAACTCAATCCAGGAAAGCCTGGGTCAGTAGTGCAAAGCCTCAACTAGAAAGACTTTCAGACGAGCTGGTAGGCCCATCTCCAGTGGTCTCCATGAAAGTGGAGGGAGTTTACACTAAAGCTTTGTTGGATACTAGAGCCCGATATACAGGGACTTCTATGATAAGCATTTGAAACACATAACCCTATGGAAGCTAGAAGAGCTAGAAACCTTTGGAATTGGGACTCAGAAGTGTCCATATGATGGCTAAATACCCATTTACCTGTTTTTCAGCCCAACTCCAAAAGAGAGAACCGAGATGTTTGATACTTTAGCAATAGTCTGCCTTAGATCTTCTGGATAAAGCAGTGCTCCTTCTTAATTGGGACCAATACCAGCCTGGTCCGAAAGTTTTACTCCACTAGCAGAACACTGTACCCATAGAAAGAATCCATCCACAACTACACCAAGTTTATCAGAGAGTTAAGGGTTCCAGAAGAGGAAGTGAGGAAGGATTGGAAGAATGGATCTGTAGAGAAAGTATTCCTGCCAGGGGCAGTCACCTGTTTCACAGCCCCAGTTAAACTGGGCTTGCACCAGCCAGGGCCCTTTGAGGTACTGGAAATGGATAACAAAGGAGGGACAGATGGAGTAGAGATAATTCCAAAGGTGATCACTATGAAGGTTCTGCAGTGCTAATGTCCTTATCCGAGTCTGCAACAATACAACAGGCCCTATCACCTTAAAACCCAGGGCTCTGTTAGGGCAAGTGAATGTAGCCACTCCAGTCAGCATGTCCGAGTCACCTGATGGCCTAATCTGGGAGGGATCAGCCTTCAAGATTCCCCACTGTCAGAAGAGTGAAAGGGAAGAGCAATAGAGCAAGCTGGCAAAAAGTATTTTCTAGGAACGACTATGATGTTGAGTGAACTAAGAGTGCCCAGCATCGAATTCAGCTCAGAGGAGACAAACCATTCCATTAACGAGCCACATGGGTCCCTTAAAGGGACTTGGAGGACCTCATAAAACAGAGTTGAACAGGGCTGGGATTATTTGGGAGTCCAGGAGCCTCTATGCTTCCCCTATTGTAGTAGTACAGAAGAAGAATGGTACCCCGCAAATGTGTATTGATTACAGCAGGGCTTAAAATTTTGAGTCTAGACCTACTAGCCAGGCACAAACCTTACTCTCCACCAGTTGCCCCACCTAACCTTGCCCAGGTCCGCCTCCGACCCCCGCCCCTGGCCCATCCCCCAACCCCAGCCCTGTCCCCCACCACGCCCCCTTAATGCTTATGAAATTACATTTTTCTTTAGAATAAAGAGTCCAAAATATAAAGAAACTGCAATTATAACAGATGGATGCCAGCACATGGAGCAGCATAACCTCTGGGAAAAGTTATTTATTCATAGCTCCTGCTGGATCCAACATCTTTAAGGATTCTGGAGAAGGGAGATCCTACACCCAGGAGACCTACATCCATCTATTCCTTAAGAGGACCTCCAGCCTATTGAATCTTCTTCTTACCACCCTGAGGGTTCCCACCATCACTACCCACTTAGAGGAAGGATTCATTCCAGATGTCCCTGACCAGACCAATCATCCAGAGGGAGGACAACTTCCCCTATTCTAGACCAGATCCTGAAGGAAGCTTCTATGGATTTTTTGTTCAATGCACATTTTTATTTGTGCATCTGGTGAGTGCACAATCCCCCTATATTACTTGGAACAACACCACGGTTTTATAAGAAAAGCACTTTAAGACTCACGGAACTATTTTTATATATTAACTTTTTTCTTGCCTTGACTTATTGCATGTGATATTATGCGTTTAGACATTTTGATTTTTAGTCTTGTTTTAACTGACATATGCTATTGTGCGTTTAGATATTTTGACTTTTAGTCTTGCTTTGACCTTCATCATACCCATAGCGCTCCACTATTTTTTATGGAGTTTTATTAGGGTTTTCACTTGGTTACCTTGAGTGTACAGCAGCTTACCCTTCAAGAGCGCTCACTTTTATACCATTTTTACATAGCTTTATTATGTCATTTTAATAACAAAAAAGACCAACAATTTTGAAAAAAAAAACTATTTTTGACTTTTTGCTATTAAACATGTCCAGTAAAAAAAATCGAATAAATTTACACCAAATTGTATTCTGCTACATGTCCCAATACGTGTAAATTAATTGTTTTTTTCTTTTAATTTTATTTTTACTAGTAATGGCGGTGATCAGCGACCTATAGCGGGACTGCGGAGGGCATTCTGACACTAGGGGGGAACAGACTTGGTGTCACTGACATCCACAGAGACACCAATACAGTGATCAGTGCTAATAAAAAGCACTGACACTGTACTAATGGCACTGGGCAGGAAGGGGTTAATATCTGGGGCGATTAAAGTGTTAACTGTGTGCTGTGTGTGTTTTATTATGGGGCTGTGTGTGTGCTTTCCACTGTAAGCACACTGCTTTGTATGGCTCTGCTATGCTGACAGGGGAGAGATCTGTGTGGTTTACATACAGTTCTCTCCTCAGTCTTTAATACTTGGCAATCACCATGTGTCGGTGATTGACAGCGAATGGTGCCGCAGGTAGGGCGCGTGAGCGGCCCATGCATGCTCCCTACCCGGAAATGCGAAATCACGTATATATATATATATATATATGTGATTTTTTGTGCACTCCTGCTGCCCTGTAGAAGGATTTCTGCTATTTCTGCTATAGGGTGGTGGGAAAGTGATTAAATTACACTATTAAACGTTTTATTCAGAAGATACAAAAATAAATAGTAACAACAACAATGTAAACATAAAAATAAGTGCTTTAGATCAGTAGGGATGCCAACGCTGAGGCAATAATTCTCATAGTGATACCAAAGTTAAGGCACTATTCCTCCCACTGACACCAACAATGGAGCACTATTCCTCCCACACTGACACCAATGATGGGGCACTATTCCTCCCACTGACACCAACGATGGGGCACTATTCCTCCCACTGACACCAACGATGGGGCACTATTCCTCCCACTGACACCAACAATGGAGCACTATTCCTCCCACTGACACCAACAATGGGCACTATTCCTCCCACTGACACCAACAATGGGCACTATTCCTCCCACTGACACCAATGATGGGGCACTATTCCTCCCACTGACACCAACAATGGGCACTATTCCTCCCACTGACACCAACAATGGGGCACTATTCCTCCCACTGACACCAACAATGGGCACTATTCCTCCCACTGACACCATCCGAGTGCAGTGTCTTCCGTCCCTGGGGCCCTCATCCCTCCTTCAGCTCCAGGAACAGCAGTGCCATGTGGGGTGAAATGTCGGGGTCTCAGAGTCCGATTCTCAGGATCAGAGTGGCCACTGCATGCCAAATCACACTCATCTTGTCCCCGTACACCGCAGTGGAGCTGACCCACTGCTCTAGAATTGGTCAGAGAGTCAGTGGAGCTCATGGCCCTGCCAGCTCCTTCCTCTCTGTGGAATAATATCCTGTCTCCTATACAGAGTGTCAGCACACACTCGGCCCCAAAATTATTTCTACTCGCCAAATGCGAGCAGGCGAGTGGAAATTTCAAGGCCTGGATTACAGGACTTTGAGCAAATAGACTATCCCTGATCAATACAGTACTCTGTGGATTGAAGACACATTACAGTGCCTGTCAGGAGCCAAGTGGTTTAGTGTTCTGGATTTGAAGTGTGGATATTAACAAATCCCTATGCACCCTGAGGATGGGGATAAAACTGCCTTTATTGGACCACTGGGGTTTTTCAAATGTGACAGTATGCCCCAGGGCCTATCTGGGGCACTAACCACTTTTCAGAGGTTGGAGTGTACGGTGGAGGATATGAACCTAATTGAAGTCCTTGTCTACCTGGACAACATGATTGTGTTTGGAAGAACCTTGTAGGAGCATGATGAATGGTTGGAAGGAGAGACAATTGGGTCGAGTAAGGCCCCCTACCAAAAAGGCCACAGAGGCCCTGTGAACCCATCAGTAGTCAGTGGACCTAGCAGTGTGAGCAGGCCTTCATCAAGTAAAAGCAATGTTTGATGCAAGGCTCAGTATTGGCTTACGTTTCCAAGTTGTACAAACTCCATGTGAATGCCAGTTGAGAGAGCCTTGGGGCATTATTGTACCAAGAACATGCTGGGTTGTTACGGCCCATGGCGTTCGTGAACCAGAGCCCCTCCCCTGCAGAAAGGAGTTACCCAATCCACAAGCTGGAGTTCCTTGCCTTGAAGTAGGCTGTGGTGGATAAGCTGAAGGAATATCTCTATGGGTCTGAATTCCTGGTGAAGAAGGATAACAATCTACTAACTTATGTACTCACCACAGCTAAGCTAGACATCACTGGGCATTGATGACTGTCTGCGCTGTCTGTCTATTTTGCTTCAGCCTAAAGTGTTGGCCTGGAGTGGGGAATAGAGATGCGGATGCCCTATCCAGAAAACCTCATGGCTGTCATGCTATTGAGCCAAGCTGGTTGCAAGTATCCCCTGAAGAGGTGCAGTCTATGAGTCAGGGGGCTGTCATAGCCAAAGGGGTGGCTTATGCTGAAGTTGTGGGAGCCCGAGGAGCATGAATCCTGCCATATGTCAGGGAGTGAGGAGCCAGACACACAAGGAGGTGCAATTAAAGGTAGGTTTATTAATATAAAAATAAGACAAGAGTCTATGCAAGTCCAACAGTGGAAGCCAAAGCCGGGGTCAAGAGCCAGGAAGAATCATCGCCAGAGCCGGGATCAGGAGCCAGGAAGAATGGTCGCCAGAGCCGGGATCAGGAGCCAGGAAGAATGGTCGCCAGAGCCGGGGTCAGAAGCCAGGAGGAGTCTTAGCCAAAGCCGAGTCGGTATCCAGGAAAGCAATGAGTAGCTAAACAGGAGCTTGCTGTTGTGCAACAGAAAGGACACGAATGCAATGGACAGCCACAAACAGCAGACTTATATGTGATAAGCCGCCACCTCCTGGGGGAGGAGCCACAGAGGGCTGAAAGCATAAAGGATCCCACAATGCTTTGCAGACACCTAAGATGGATGCCAGCACATGGAGCAGCACAAGGTCTGAGGAAAGGTAGGACCTTGACAGTACCTCCTCCTCAAGGGCCCCTCCCCCTCCGCGACTCAACATAAGGCTTCTGTGGAAAGCGGGTGTGAAAAACGCGGAGGAGGGCAGGAGCATGAACATTTACGGAAGGAACCCAGGAACGCTCCTCGGGACCATAACCACGTCAATGGACCAGGAACTGCACCTGACCGCGGACCAACCGAGAGTCCAGGATGCGGCTCACCTTATACTCCTCATGACCGTCGACCCGGATAGGAGGAGGCCGAGGCGGAGAGTCAGTAAAGCGATTACAGACCAGAGGCTTCAACAGGGATACGTGGAAGACATTGGAGATACGCATCCCAGGAGGAAGAGCAAGGGCATAGGCAACCGGGTTCACCCTGCGGAGGATGTGGAAAGGACCAGAAGGCGCGCCAGAACCTGGACACAAACTGGCTCCCACGGTCTGAGACAATCACCTTAGGCAACCCATGCAAGCGAAAGATCTCCCTGGCGAAAACCATAGCCAGTTCTTGCGCAGTCAGCAATTTCTTGAACGGAACACAATGGCACATCTTGGAGAAATTATCAATGACCATAAGAATGACCGTATGGCCTCGAGACACAGTGAGGTCTACAATAAAATCCATAGTTAAAACGCGACAAGAACAGAGCCCATCTGGCCTGACGGGGCGTCAACTTCTTAGCTTCCAAGAGATACGTCAGGTTCTTGTGGTCAGTGAGAATGAGAACCGGAACCGCAGAACACTCGAGCAGGTGCCTCCATTCCTTGAGAGCCTGAATAATGGCCAACAACTCCCGGTCTCCAATCTGGTAGTTGCATTCTGCGGAGGAAAGCTTCCTGGAATAGAACCCACAGGGAAGTAGGGGTCCATCGGGGACCGACACTGAGACAGGAGGGCGCCTACTCCCGTCTCAGATGCATCAACCTCGAGGACAAAAGGCAACCCAGGATTGGGATGAGACAGTATCGGAGCCGAAGCGACGGTGGATTTCAGAGCTTCGAAAGCTAAGATGGCCCCGGATGACCACTCGTGGGGATTACTGCCCTTCTAGGTCAGATCTGAGAGAGGCTTGGCCAGCGTGGAGAAGTTCCTGATAAACGTCCGATAATAGTTGGCGAAACCCAAAAAGTGCTGAATGGACTGAAGACCACTTGGATGACATCCTGGTTTACTCTGCATCTATGGAGTCTCATATTCAGGATATCGTCCAAGTAAACCACCACGCACTGCTGCAACAGGTCACAAAAGACATCATTAATGAACTCCTGAAAGACTGCGGGCACGTTACACAACCCGAAGGGCATAACCAGGGATTCATAGTGGCTGGTTCTGGTGTTGAATGTGGTCTTCCACTCATCGTCCTCCTTGATCCGTACGAGGTTGTACACAGCCCTAATGTCGAGTTTAGTTAAGACCATTGCTTCCTTGTGACGGTCGAACAACTCGGTTATCAACGGAATTGGGTAAGCATTCTTAATCGTGATTCGATTGAGACCCCTAAAATCAATGCAAGGCCTCAACTCACCCCCCTACTTTTTCACGAAGAAAAAGCCAGCTCCTGCTGGAGAAGTAGATTTGTGAATGTGCCCCCGGGAAACGTACTCCTCCATGGCCTGATTCTCCGCAACCGAAAGAGGATACACCCTGCCACGCGGAGGAGTGGCACCGGGTTGTAAGGTTATGGCACAATCGTATGGACAATGAGGAGGCAGAGCACCGGCGCACACCTTGTCAAACACGTCCAGGTACTCCCCATAGTCAGTGGGCAACACAGAGTCCGAGGAGGCACACAACACCTTAACAGGTCCACGGATGACCGGCCCCAAACTGTGGAGACCACAAGAGAATCTCGGCCGACCGCCAATCAAAGGTCGGATTGTGCTTCTGAAGCCAGGGATATCCCAAAATCACGGAGTAGTGCGGGTAAGAAATTACCTGGAAACAGGCCAACTCCCTGTGAACAGCCCCAATAGCTACTTCCACTGGCAGGGTCTCGTGGGTAACCTGCGGCGGTTGCAGGGGCCTGCCGTCTATTGCCTCGAGGACCAATAGAGTAACTCAAGCCTGCAGAGGAATGGAGTACTGGGCAGCAAATGAACTGTCTATAAACAACCCACCAGCACCAGAGTCTACCAATGCCTGGGCCGTCACCGAGCTTTCCGCCCAAGAGAGGACAACGGTGATTAGCGGTTTAAAAACCGAAAATGCCCACCGAGACCACAGTACAGGCAGCGACCCTCCCGACGCTGAGAGGCCCGCTCCCCCTCGGAGCAAACCCCAGCTGCATGGGCTCACCGCCAGACAAGCCACCACCCCCGGAGGCGTGGGAGGAGATGGAGGAACGGGTGGGACAGAAAACGTAGGCGCCAATCGGTTAGGTGGAGACCTCTCCCTGAGCCTGGTGTCAATCAGGATTAGGAAGGAAATGAGTGCTTCGAGCTCCACAGGCAATTCTTTGGCTGCAATCTCATCTTTCAACGCATCTGAGAGACCATGAGAGAAAGCAGCCACCAGAGCCTCATTGTTCCAACACACCTCTGCGGCCAGGGTGCGAAATTCTATGGCGTACTCGGCAACGGTTCGTGAACCCTGATGCATGAACATGAGCAGCTTGGCAGCAAAGGCGGAGCGAGCAGGCACATTGAATACCCTACAAAAGGAGGCAACAAAACCGGCAAACTCGTGAATCACAGGGTTATCGTTCTCCCATAATGGATTTGCCCGGGCCAAGGCCTTGTCTGTGAGCAACGAGATTAGGAAGCCCACCTTTGACCTCTCAGTAGGAAAAGCGTGGGGTATCAATTCAAAATATATGCCCACTTGGTTAAGGAAACCCCGACACTGACTCGGTTCACCCCAAAGCGCTGTGGAAGGGGGGCTAAACCAGTCATACCTCTGGGCACCGCAGGTGCGGCAGCAGATGCGGAGGTAGGCGCAACAACCGGAGCAACAACGGGAGCGACCACAGTAGTGACAACCGGCCTAATAGCACCAGGAGCAAGGTGCGCTGTGTGTGCAAGCAGCGTCTGCAACGCCTGAGCGAACTGAGCCAACAAGGGATCCTGCTGATCAAGTCTGGCAACCAACATAGGGAGCGGGGGCGTACCTGCACCGTCAGGATTCATGGCATTCGTGTAGTGTCAGGGAGCGAGGAGTCAGACATACAAGGAGGTGCAAATAAAGGTAGGTTTATTAATATAAAAATAATACAAGAGTCTATGCAAGTCCAACAGCGGAAATCGTGGCCAAAGCTGGGGTCAAGAGCCAGGAAGAATCATCGCCAGAGCCAGGATCAGGAGCCAGGAAGAATCGTTGCCAGGATCAGGAGCCAGGAAGAATGGTCTCCAGAGCCAGGGTCAGAAG